CCCCTTCTCGGAGAAGGAGGCCGCAAAGGAGCGCGGCGCAAAGTGGGACCGCGCGCGCAAGGCGTGGTTCGTCCCTGCCGGCACGCCGCTTGCCCCCTTCGCGGAGTGGCTTCCGGCCGGCGGCGCCGCCGCGCCTCCGCCGCGCTCTGCCTGCGCCGCCGCCTCGCCCGCCTCCTCCTCCGCCTCGCCACTGCCGCGCACCGCGCCGAGGGCTGCGCCGCCCGACTTTGCGGTGATCCTCGAGGTCGAGGAGGACGACGAGGCGCTGCACTCTGCCCTCGCCGCGATGGAGGCCGCTTGCGACCCGAGGGTGCACGCGCACTGCTTCCAGCAGGCCGGCACGCGCCACCTCACCCTCTACACGCTCAAGGGCGTCCCGCGCGCGACCGCGGAGAGGATCCGCTTCGGCGCCGCCGCGCCGCCGCCCGCGCTGCCGCTGCGCGTGCGCTTCTCGCGGCCGCACGAGTGGGCCAACGCCCTCGCCTTTGCGGTGGACGCGGAGAGCGAGGTCCGGCTGCGGCAGGCGATCGCCGCGTGCGCCTCCGGGCTCGAGGGGCTGCCTCCGCGCGGCAAGGCGGGCGCCAAGCCGTGGACGCAGCGGTACGGCCACGCGTACGAGGCGGGCAATTAATTAGTTCATTAATAATTAATTAATTAATAATTAGGTACGGCCACGCATACGAGGCGGGCGAGCTGCACCTGACCCTCTACCGCGTGCGCGACGCCTGCGCGGCCCTCGGCAAGGCGAAGCCCGCCGTGCTCGACGAGTTCGAGCGCGCGCGGCGGGCGGTCGCCGGCGCCTCGCTGGGCTCCGTCAAGGGGGTGCGCATCTCGATCAAGGAGGTCGGAGGGCCGTACGACGCGTGCCGCCCGCTCGCGGGCTCGCTCGCCCCGGGCTGACGGATGCCTGCATTGTTGCATGGACGCTGGAGTGACGCGCGGTGGGGCGCAACGCTACGTGAGGAGGAGCGGGGTTCCCGCGAGCGCTGTACTGCAGTTACCGCGACTGTTTTGTGTATGGCACCCCGACCGGGGCGGCCGAAGCGAGGGGAAGAGGGCGAGGGCGCGAAGCAGAACGGTGCGTGTTCTCCTCGACCGCGTCTGTCACATGGGCGTGCTCTCATCACACATGAGCAGCTCCATGCGCGACTGCGCGGCCGAGCGCGCGAGACACTATCTGTCTGTCAGGACACCGCTAGCGCTCACGAAAACGCCAAAAACACCGCACATCAGTACCACCGTTGGTCCCGCGTACTCTAGCGCGTACATTTCCTACCTCTGTCCACAGCATGTGCATGATCCATGATCTACACCCGCCCTCAGCTCACACTCACATCTCGAGCTCGAACCCTTCCCGCCCGCTCACCGCATCTCGAATCACTCTCTCTCCCTCGCCGCCAAGTTGTTGTAATTGATGATGAGGGTTTTCAGCACCCCGTTGACGCGCAGAGCAGAGGCCAGCGCCTCGGCGCCCGTGTCTTCGATGTCGTTGTAGCAGAGGTCGAGCTCGGTCAGCACCCCGTTGACGCGAAGAGCGGATGGCAGCACCATGGCGCCCACGTCGCCGATGCTGTTGTCGAAGAGGTTCAGGACGGTCAGCACCCCGTTGGCCCGCAGCGCCTTGGCGATCGCAGCGGCGCCGGCGTCACTGATGCGGTTGTCGCGGAGGTTGAGCACTTTCAGCACCGCGCTGCCCGACACGTACTCGGCGATCTCTGCCGCGCCAGTCGGGCCGACACGGCAGCCAGCCAAGCCCAGCGAGGTCAGCTTGTTGCGCTGCCGCTCGACGCGGACGATGCCGAGGGCCTGCTCCTTGGTGAGGCCGTTGAAGCCCACGTCCAAGGAGATCAGCACCTCGTTGACGCGAAGAGCTACAAACTGCGGCGTGGCCACGCCGACGCGAAGAGCGGCAGCGCCTTGGCGCCCTCGTCACTGATGTCGTTGTAGTCGAGGCTGAGAGTGTGCAGCCCCCGTTGCCCCGCAGCGCCTCGCCGATCGCGGCCGCGCCCTCGTCACCACTACCGTTCGCGGCGTGGCCGCGCCGACGCGAAGAGCGGCAGCGCCTTGGCGCCCTCGTCACTGATGTCGTTGTATCCGAGGCTGAGGTCGGTCAGAACCCCGTTGACCCGCAGCGCCTCGCCGATCGCGGCCGCGCCCTCGTCACCAATACCGTTGTAGTCGAGGTTGAGAGTGTCCAGCACCCCGTTGTCGCGCAGCGCCTCGCCGATCGCGGCCGCGCCCTCGTCACCAATAGCGTTCCCAAAGAGCGAGAGGTTGGTCAGCACCCCGTTGCCCTCGAGGGCGGAGGCCAGCGCCTTGGCTCCCTCGTTGCCGATCTCGTTGTCGTAGAGGTAAAGGGCTTTCGGCACCTCGTTGACGCGAAGAGCGGATGCTAGCGCCTTGGCGCCCTCGTTGCTGAGTTCGTTTTGGCCGACGTCGAGGTCGGTCATCACCCCATTGCCCGCAATCAGCGACGCAATCACGATGGCCGAGGCGGGGCCGAGGCCCTTTTCCGAGAGGTTGAGGGATGTCACCGGGTCGGTGCCGCGAAGCTTTGGCAGGTCGAGCTCGTTGAGCTCGTCTCCGTCGAGGCTCAGTTCGATCAGCACCGCGTTGACGCGCAGAGCGGAGGCCAGAGCCTTGGCGCCCTCGCCACCAATGTGGTTATCACAGAGCGAGAGTTTGGTCAGCACCGCGTTGCCGCGCAGCGCCTTGGCGATCGCCTTCGCGCCCTCGTCGCGGATATTGTTGTTGTTGAGGCGCAAATCGGTCAGCACCTCGTTGACGCGAAGAGCGGCTGCTAGCGCCTTGGCGCCCTCGTCGCCGATGTTGTTGCTCGTGAGCACGAGGTTGGTCAGCACCGCGTTGCCGCGCAGCGCCTCGGCGATCGCGGCGACGCCCTTGGGGCCGATATTGTTGTTGCCGATGTTGAGGGTTTTCAGCACCCCGCTGCCCTTGAGGGCGTCGGCGATCGCGGTGGCGCCGGTGGGGCCGATCTTGTTGTTGCGCACATCCAAGGAGGTCAGCACCTCATTGCGCTCGAGAGCGCCTGTTATCTTAGCTCCGACTCGGCCGCCGAGTTTGGCTGCTGCATCCCGCCACTTCTCGTTTGTAACCGACACAGCGTTTGCCACCAGCGGGGTGGCGAGGTCCTTGAAGCGGCTGCTGCATCGTTTGAGAGCGACCGAGGAAGCTAGTTCAGACTCGGCCAGCCGACTGATGATCTTCCTCAACAGATCGTCATTGAGATCCGCGAGGCAAGCAGGTTGGACGGCGGCCATAGGCAAAAGCAGAGCGTCGTGCCGCCGCGTCCTCAATCAACTGCGGCTTTGCGCCTCCTCTTTTTTTCTCCCTTCTCCGTGCTGCCTTTTTGTTTCCAGCCACCTTCGTGCGCTCGAAGGTGGCCCGCAACTTTTTTTTTTATTTTTTCGACGAAGCAGAAAATATCGATGTTCAAGCTCCTCCTGCTCCTCGGCGCGAGCAGCGGCGCGGCACTACTCGTCAGCCCGCGTCCGGCTCACATCTCGCGACCAGTAATTCGCTTGGCTCAGCCGACTGCGCTGGAGCCAGATCCGCCTCCTCCAGAGACAGAGAAGCAGCAGCTGAACGACGCTCAATTTGGTGTCCTTGAGCGAGCGCAGGACCCGTTCCGGCTGATCCGCCTCGTTGTGTATGGCATCTTTGGCGTGGTGAGCGTTGCGGGCATCAGCATCGCCGTGTACGACCTTGGGAAGGACCCAGGTGCTTTTACAGCCTGTGCACGACTAGACACTTGCTCGATGGAGGCAGCACACCCGTAGACACACACGGCGACACACCCACGACATACGCTCGCCGGCGCCCTCCCAGGCACCGCGCTAGTCAACCTCGGTACCAACGTCGTCCTCGGCGGCGCGGTCGGGGCGGCCTTTTACTTTGACAAGAGTGCGCTCGGCCCTCCCAGCTTCAGCGCCCCCAGCGCCACCCTCGCCTCCCCGTCCATCCCCCCACCATCATCACCTCCTCCACCCTCTCCTCCTCCACCCTCTCCTCCTCCACCCTCTCCGTGCCCGCGGGACCAGCCTCAGTCTTGTCACGGTGCTCCCGGCCCGCGCCCGACCGCTCCTCGTCCCCTCCTGCCTGCAGCCGTCGTGCAGGAGAAGATCAAGGACAACACGCGCAAGGAGGTGGACGACCCGATGCTCAAGGGCGACTCGGAGTTCTTCTTTGCGGAGAAGGCGAAGGATCCTGGCGAGTGAGCAGGCACGCCTTCGCCTGGACTGCACACTAGTTCTACTCGTTGTGCACTGCGGCGCCCATAACACGCCGGCGTACGCAGGTCGCCTCGATAGTCGGGCACGCGGGCTTTTTAGACACGCTTTTTGCAAAATTCCGCGGACATCGTAAGTTCTTTTGCCAGCGGCGAGGGCCGCGGTCGAGTGCACGGAGCTCAAGTGCCTTGCCGTCCTCGCGGGAGTCGCTTAGGCGGCTCCAGTGGTGTACCTGTGTTAGTGCCAGTGCGCGCCAGTCCCATGCCCAGTGTTGTGCGAGGAGTCGCGAAGTCTTTTGAAGCGCGGTTCGCCGGCGGCCCTCCTCTGCAAGTGGGCGAACCCTCGTTATCACCCGATCAGAACCGATCCAGCCCGCCCTTCGAGGACCTTGCCCACCGCCATCCACTCATGTGCGGCCGCACGCGCCAGAGCCTCTCCGCCGACGCCCTCGCGCGGCATGCGCCTACGTTGGGCGGCCGGACGACGCACTGGAAGCCGAGCGCGGCGGCGGCGCACTCGCCGCGGCAGAACGCGAGCCCCGGCTCGTCGCTCGCCGTCGTGGTGCAGGCGGGCGAAGCGGGACCGGCGCAGCACCTCTCCGTCATGCGGTGGGGGCTCGTCCCATCCACCAGCCCACTCGGCAGCAAGCCAGACTTCTGGCGGATGTTCAATGCGCGGTGCGAGACGGTCGACTCGCTCGCGTCCTTCCGGCGGCTGCTCGGCCGCCGCCGCTGCGCCGTGCCGCTGAGCGGCTGGTACGAGTGGACGGACGACGAGTTCAAGGAGGTCAAGACGAAGCAGCCGTACTACGTCGGCCGCGAGGGCGAGGCCGAGGCGCCGCTCTGGGCCGCGGGTCTGTGGGACAGCTGGGAGGGCACCGAGGGGTGAGCGGCTTCTACGCCCGAGTGCCTCGCAGAGACCCATCGCCAACCCTCCCCGCGCCCCGCGCCCTCAGGGCGGTCGAGTCGTTCACGATTATGACGCGCGACGCGGCGCCGCGCCTGGCTGCACGAGCCGCAGCCGCCACACGTCCATGACACGTCCCTGGCGCGTCCGATAGGCGCCCGACCTCGCCTGGCTGCACGACCGGCAGCCGGTGCTGCTCGACGCTGAGGGCCTCGCGGCGTGGGTCGGAGAGGCGGCAGAGGCAGACGCTCTCGCGGAGATGCGGCGGTGTGCGCGGCTCGGCGCCGGCGGGCTGCGGTGCCACCCCGTCTCGAAGAAGATGTCCAAGGCCGGCTGCCGCGGAGGCGGAGGCCGCGTCCGCCATCCGACCTGCTGAGCTCACGGCTGCTGCTGTGAGTAGGCCTCGTACCAGGAGGAGGACGCGTGCGCTCGCGTCACGCTCGCATCGAGGCAGCAGCGCTCGGTCGCCGCATTCTTCGGAGCGAAGGCCGCCCCGTCCCCGGCAGCCAAGGAGGAGGCACCGGGAGGCAAGGAGCTTGCGGCGGCGGCGGCGGCGGCGGCGGGGAAGCAGCCCGCCGCAACCGGCCACAAGCGCGCGTCGCCGGCAAGGGAGACGAAGCGGCCCGCCCCGGGAAGCATCCAGAGCTTCTTCAAGCGGCCTAAGCCTGGCTGACTTGATTTCTTTGCGTAAAACGTGAGAAAGTGCGGACTGGCTCGTGCTGGCACTAATTTAAAGAATTTTAGAACCAAGGTAGGAAGGAAGGTAGGAAGGTGAAGAACAGCCAGGCTCGGACTGGACACCAACGCGGTATGGGAAAACAAAGCTCT